GTGTAAAAGTAGGTCAAACGTTAAGGTCAAATTAGGTGGTACCCAAATAAAGGTCTTGTCAAAAGGAATGTACATGTGAAATATGAAAGATATAGCTTCACTAAATCAAAAGTAATGGGCAAAGTGAAAGTTTTTGCGGACAAACAGACAGACAGACGGACGGACACGACAAAGACTTTTTAACCCTGAAACTTTTTACAGGGGCATAAATTTCTGGGCAAGTACATCTTTTATCATTTGTACTGAACCGCATCTTAGTTAAGCATGTTACAGGTAAGTTAAAATGTGGACTGTAACTTATAACTCGCAGGGAAAGTCGCTCGTCACAAAAACATATACATGTTATTACATTAGCCGATGTTTTTCCATATATGACATTACTAATTAAATTGAAATTCAATTTCCAATGACATACAGTCGGTCACAAGATCAGACTTTCTTACGTATCGAAGCAAACCGGGCAAAACATTTGGAAAGTCTTGATTGTGACGTCATATATATATATCTATTATAATGCCCTTCGGAATTTATAGAATTTGATCAGGTGTTCGACTTAATGTCATATCGAAATGAAACTCTAAAAATATTATTTCTTAATTGACTCATTATATTCTATGGAAAAAAAAACTGTAAGAATTCTTTTATGAAACAATTTTTGAATCATGTTTAGAAAAAGATCTTGCATGAAACATATGGAGATAACAAACTGTATTCAAGATGATTAAAAGTCCATTAAAGAATACAAAATAAGAGTAGATTGATTGATTGATTGTATATTGTATAACGTTTCTCTCGAGAATTTTTCACTCATATGGAGACGTCACCGTATGCCTGTGAAGGGCTTCAAATTTAGACCTTTACTCGGCACTCGGGGCCATTGAGCAGTGGGGTTCTTTATCGTGCCAGCGCCTACCGTGACACGGGACCTACGTTTTAAGGTCATATCTGAAATTCCTGTGACTTTCACTTCTGATGCCGAGCGCTTGGCGAAGGAACAGTCACTTTCTAATTTTACGTCGTAGGTTTGACGCGGCTCTGCGAACGAGAATCGAACCCTGGCTTCCCGACCACGAAGCGAACCTTTTACCACTAGGCTACCGTGAACGGACAAAATAGGAGTAGAGCAAACACGGACCTCCAAAACATCAAAGGTTGGATCAGGTGCCATGGAGGAGAGGGCATTCCCTGTTGAGATTAGGCAAAAAACCAACTTACATTGAGAACAATTCAAAGGGTTTTCAACATCACAGATGTTACACGAACCATCCTCTATATCACAAACATCACAGATTCCCGTAATGTTACAAGGTGTACAAGCTTTACCATAATGACCTTTCAAACAACCTGCAGTTGAAATAATTAGCAAAAGTATTAGCAAAATACGTTAATAATTTTTTTTTTCAAAAGTCTAAAATGAAGATATAAAATGTTTGCGATAAAACAATTATATGCCCCACCGATTTCCTTCTGCAAGCTTCGTGTTTTTATTAAGTCTAGTTTCTTTCTTACATCAATGTAAAAAAAAAAAAACTCACCGATTATTTCAACTTCACATATTTCCAGAGCAAGAGATGATGACCATCCCATATCAACAAAATAAAAAGAAAATGATGAGCTTGTCCACTCTCCATTAATTTCAATTTCTTGTGGAATTATATTTCGGAATGATTTACATCTGTTCGTGTTGGAGTTGGATACACAAAGATTGACGCCACTAGTCTCAACGGTGTCTGAAAGATTTTATATATTCGAGGGTTGTTAAAAAATTCGCGGACAAGTTTTATTTTGAAAGCACTTATTCCATGAAACAAGTTACACTCTCCAAATAAAAACGTTATATATTTTCCAATAAATATACAAAGATTTAGTCTTTTCCGGTGATTCTAAAAATACTTAGTACACAGCTGTATTATTTTAATATAACATAATTCATGGAGCATGCTTCTTTTTTGAATGTTTACATTTAATTTACTTTATTAAAAAAATTGAAATTGCAAATTTGTATAAAAAAAAGAATTATGAAATTTTGAATGTCCTTTCTACAGTCATTACGAAACGTAACTTTTTGCATTAAATATGACAGTTAATGACTGTTTTATAGCCATATATGTGTAATCAACACGTAAAAACAACGCCAAGGATTGGTACGTCATTGAAAGTCATTGAACACCGAGCTACTAAAAGAAATACGCACGCTAACTCTCGATTCCCGCCTACATTTTAGAACCGTTTAATTCAATATAAATAGCAATTTGGCCATAAATCTTTGTTTAATACATATAACAGTTCAATGGTAATTGATGAATTGTCTTAATATCAACAGTAAATTATGCATAATTCCAGCTTTTGAAAAAAGGGGGGCAGACGATATTTTCTATTGAAATCAGAGTTTTAAACATCGTCATATTTTGAAATAGCCTTGGATATGATTAAATGTTCCTAATTATATCTTTTCTTATTTTTAGCTCTACTGGTCAGAGACCAGAAGAGCTTATGCGATAGTAATGCGTCCGGCGTCCGTCCGTCTGTCTGTCCGTCTGTCTGTAAACAATTTTTCAAAATGCTACTCCTCCTACAATTTTAGTCTGATTTCAGTATTACTTGGCACACAAGTAGACTACACTAAGATACATAAACTAGTGCATCGGTTTTTAGTTTCGATGAACGGTGTTGCCATGGTTACTAAAAATAGAATTTTCTGTGAAATTCCTTAAAAATGCTACTCCTTCTACAGTTTTGGTCTGATTTCAATATAACTTGGCACATAAGTAGACTACACTAAGATACATAGAATAGTGCATCGGTTTTTGATTTGAATGAACGGTGTTGCCATGGTTACTAAAAATAGAATTATCTGTTAAAAATTCCTTTAAAACACTACTACTTCTACAGTTTTGGTCTGATTTCAATATAACTTGGCACATAAGTAGACTACACTAAGATACATAGAATAGTGCTTCGTTTTTGATTTCGATGAACGGTGTTGCCATGGTTACTAAAAATAGAATTTTCTGTGAAATTCCTTTAAAACACTACTCCTTCTACAGTTTTGGTCTGATTTCAATATAACTTGGCACATAAGTAGACTACACTAAGATACATAGAATAGTGCATCGGTTTTTGATTTCGATGAACGGTGTTGCCATGGTTACTAAAAATATAATTTTCTGTGAAAATCCTTTAAACGCTACTCCTTCTACAGTTTTGGTCTGATTTCAATATAACTTGGCACACAAGTAGACTACACTAAGATACATAGTATAGTGCATCGGTTTTTGATTTCGATGAATGGTGTTACCATGGTAACTTAAAATAGAATTTTCTTTGAAATTCCTTCAAATTGCTATTCTTTCTACAGTTTTAGTTTGATTGGCACATAAGTAGACTACACAAAGATACATAAAATAGTGCAATGGTTTTTGATAAGTACAAACCAGTAGAGCTACAGTCTCGACAGAGACTTCTGGTTTTAAGAAATAAATAAGGCCACACCAATTTAATTTCTTGTTCGTCGGACATTTGATGAAAAAAGTACGAGCGGGCAAGCGGTTAAATGATAATATTATTACTTCTTTTAAGGCAAAATTTTTAGGTGGAGCGTGAAAAAAATTGAGTGGACAATTATATTTTTTTTGATTTGCAGAGTAAGTAGATTAAAAGTACGATAAATAGAGCAGAAATATAACATAAAACAGCACAGAATTCCAATGGTGAGGGAATTTCAAAATAATATTATTTGTTTAGTTTTGTTTAAATAGGAGCGCTTGGGTCCGACGAACAATAAATTTTATTGGTGTGGCCTAAAACCAATATATCAATAAAATATATTGTGTCAGTTGTTAATCGCTTTGCAATAGGTCGAAAATATAAGCATTTTATCGTTTTTTTGTCAAAAACATATACCCCCCTCCCCCCGTGTCAAAAAAAAAAAGCTTTGGTAAGAATTTGTGAAAGAAAATTTCATATTATCTGTGAAAAGGAATTTTTGTGACACGGGGGATGTTTTAAAAATATTGTCCGTTTATTTCTATCGTGAAAAACAACCAAAATTTTAAAGTTATCTCTCTTTGTTTTCCCAAATAGGTAATGTTTTATGAAAATACATAAAATTATGTATAAAAGATATTAAAAATTCATCGAATATGACTTTTGAAAATTGACTTGGAGATAGGCGGGAGAACAATACTATCGTTCGCAGTTCTTTGAGTGAGTGGACGGGAGGATGTCTGAAAATAGAATGAAATGCTTCTAGATGATGTACAAAAGACAATAGTATTCAAGACAATAGTATTCAAATGGTATTCAACTAGGGTATACGGATAAGTAGTTCCATAAAACCGATTAACATCTTTCAAATTTAAAATTTGATAAGAAATAGTTCCTTTTATAGTTGATAGTGGGAATATTTTGCCTTATTACTTCAAATAAATCCTTTTGAAAATAGTCAATAAGAAGTCCCCTTTACAAAAAATGTTTGACAATTCCACATTAAACCTACATTGACATTAAAAGGGTCGACAGGTCGACAGTTGACACCTCTTACTAATCAACAGTGTCACCACAAAGGTCGACAGTTGACACCTCTTATTGGTTAACCCACAATGTCATCGCAAAGGTCGACAGGTCGACAGTTGACACCTCTTATTAATTTTCAAACCCATATGAGATAAAAGGGTTAGTTTTCAAATCCACTTGAGAGATAAGGGTTAGTATTCAAACCAGGCTGAGAGGTTAGGTTTAGTGTTAGAACCCCCTGAGAGATGAGGGTTAGTTTCGAACCCCCTTGAGAGATTAAGGTTAGTTCTCGAATCCACCTGAGAGATTAGGGTTAGCTCTCGAATCCACCTGAGAGATTAAGGTTAGTTCCTGAACCCACCTGAATGATTAGGGTTGATTCCAGAACCCACCTGAGAGATTAGGGTTAATTCCAGAACCCACCTGAGAGATTAGGGTTAGTTATCGAACATGATAGATTAGAGCTGTTCTTCTATCCAACCTAGGGGTCAACCAGTCGACCCGTCTACCCGTCAACTTGTCAACCCGTCGACCTGTCAACCCGTTGACTCGTCAACCTGCCGCCCTGTCAACCCTTCGACCTGTCAAACTGTCCACCTGTCTACCCGTCCACCTGTCAACCTGTCGACCTGTCAACCCGCCGACCCGTCTACCCGACCACCTGTCAACCTGTCAACCTGTCTACCCGTCCACCCGTCGACATGTCTAACCGTCAAGCAGTCTACCAGTCGACCTGTCAACCCATCGACCTATCTACCCGTCGACCTGTCAACCCGTCAATCTGTCTTGTCATCGACCTGTCAACCCGTTGACCTGTCAACCAGTCGACCTGTCAGCCAGTCGACCTGTCAACCCGTCGACCTGTCTACCCGTCAACCAGTCTACCGGTCGACTTGTCAACCCGTCGACCTGTCAACCTGTTGACCTGTCAACCCGTTGACCTGTCAACCTGCTGACCTGTCAACCCGTCGACCTGTCAACCAGTCCACCTGTCTACCCGTCCACCTGTCAACCTGTCGATCTGTCTACCTGTCCACCTGTCAACCCGCCGACCCGTCTACCCGTCCACCTGTCAACCAGTCGACCTGTCTACCCGTCCACCCGTCGACCTGTCTACCCGTCATCCAGTCTACCAGTCGACTTGTCAACCAGTCGACCTGTCAACCCGTCGATCTGTCTACTCGTCAACCTTTCATCACGTCGACCTGTCAACCCGTCGACCTGTCTACACGTCAACCAATCCACCAGTCGACTTGTCAACCCGTCGACCTGTCAATTTGTCGACCTGTCAACCCGTCTTCTGCTGGTAAACTTCTTCTAATTTCCTTTTCGTTATCCAACAACACGCATCAATTCGAATACGGCGCATGAATCTGATTATAAAGCAAGGCGCATTAATTCAAATTTGGCGTATGAAGATATTTTTACCGGGACTACTTATCCATATATGCTAGTTGAGCCAATTGCCTTACTAACAGGGGGCCCTACACAGCTTATCAGCTGGAAAAAATAAAGGAATTCATGAAAATATGTACATGTGGAAGGCATATTATTGTTCCTACAAACTTATGTCAAAATTACAATAAGCAAAGATATCAATATGACATACATACTCAAAATAATAATACTGGGTTATTTTCGCCCTTTTACACTTGCTTACAAATTTGCACCATTTTAAATTTGCCTTTTCTAAGTTCTGTTTAAGAATTTATACTGTGTTCTTTGAATTTGACCCGTTTTAAATTCGCCCACTTGGGACAAAAATTTTCCTACATACAGTAATTTATACAGGAAAACATGGTTATAGCGAGCTCACTTATAAAGAATCTATGCTTATAGATAAGTGATTTTAATTCCCCATAGATTTATATTGTACTGTGAACTGAATAGATGTACATGAAATTTCCATTATAACATTTCAAATTTGCTGATCTCCGGGTTGGCACTCTCCAATACGACTGAACTGTACTTATTTCTTTTTACTACTTTTCTTTTTACATTAAAAATTTTCACTCAAGTCTTTTAGGTAAAAAAAAGGACTCTGAGTTTCTTTACCTTGTGAGTAGTGTCCACATGCCTGACACAGTGAGTCTGTACTGAATTCAGTGTCTCGGTAGTTCTACTGATTTTGAGTCTCTTTACCTTGTGAGCAGTGTCCGTGTGCCTAACACAGTTTGTCTTTACTTAGTTTAATGTGTCACTCAGTAGTTCTACATTCACTGTGTTCTGACCTTGGTCTTCCTCCAAGCCCAGAAGAAATTCGGTCATGTGATACAAACAGGAAGTGACATCACTCACCACAGTAAATCTGTTGTCAATTACTGTAGGCATGTGTCTGCAGGTTATATCAATTTTGTCGGAGTAAACTTTAAGTTTTAAAATATAGCATTGATATTAACATTTTCCTCAAAGTTAAGTTATAATGCACAAGGCGTTTGGATAAAACCTGCATGTTTGAATGAAAAAACATAGTTTTACATCGCTTGATGAAAAATAAAAAAAAATCTGATTGTTTACAGTGGATTATGTCAAAATGAACTTTTATAGATTTCGTATTAAACGAATTAAAAAGAGCTCAGGACTTCATCTAAGTTAAATATATATAACAATTTCCGTAACTGATTTTACTCATTGTAAGCAGGTAATGCATTTGTACTCACTATACATGCTTTAGAAAAGAAGAGAATCAATAATCTTCTGGGGTTTTATACTTGACCAGAAAAGTCCCACTCTTGGATATAAAACATGGAGGCAAGGAGACGAATGAAGCTTTTCAATATGGGCAATGTTTTCTGAAATTTTTTTTCAGCTTCATGGCCCATTGTTAAAAAAGAGTTTGAAATTTTGTGATATAAACGAACATGAACGGTATGAACGGTAGGAATTGTGACATTTAATCAGATGCCAGGGGCTGCTACATGTATGCATAGTATTTGTTTATTAATTGATTTTCTATATGGTTGTTTAAGTCAATTTTCTTCATTATTTGGATGCCTTGTCTAAACACTTTCGTGTAAATAATCACAAAGTTCCAGGTATGCAAAACCAGACGTAAAAAAAAGGCTCTCAAGGCGATTCCCATTTTAAAGTAAATGTCAGCGTTTAAGATATTTGGTTTTGCTGTTGCCGTAATCGAAGATTCAGTATCTGACTGTTTACAAAAACTTAAACCTTGCCCGCAACTCTAACACGGATGATGCTAGGTGCTATTTCATATTTTAGATGTTTTAAATTTCTTTGGGTAAGGCCTTTTTAGGTGCTACTATATTTGACCATGGCATTTGACATTTTGCAAAAAGGTTTACCAAACTTTAACCTTTACTATTATTTCAGCGGTTAGGATTAGGGCATTTATTTTCATATGAATATGTACATTCCTTGCGTTCTGACCTTTCCTCAGCTGCCTATATTGTTGATGTTTCAAACTATAGAGACTTTGACGCACATTTGAAAAGATTAAATAAACTTTAATGATAATTTTTGAACGATAGATGGCAGAACTGTAATGTATCACACAAGTGCGTGTATACATGTATATTGTGAAAAGGTCTTTCGTTGGTACCCGCATTTTGACTCAAGACCATAGAGTAAGACCTACATTTGGAAAACAATAAACCATGTCTATGTCTATTAACTTTTAAATGGCTGCTGCTAGGATTTGCATTTTCATTTATAACTTGTACCTTACCATTTCTTTTAATATATCATGGCATTGAACTTGGAGTTTGCCCCTCTCAAAAGAAAAGAAGAATTTTAAAAGAGCGAATAACACAAAAAGCTTCTTTTTTTTTTTAGAAATCAGCAAAATTTACATTCAAAATGGTAACCCGAATAATGTATACCAAGTATAGAGGGAAATTGTTATCATATAGTCTAAAATTTCTACAATTCTTTTGCATAAAACCATATAAAAAGCAAAACAAAGTCTCATATCTATGCATCAGAGAAATCCTATGACTTCATTATATATGTATTTCAGGGATTAATTATTCATGTCATTTCAAATCAAAATCATTCAAAATATATATACCAATCCAGGCATCAAATTTTTGTTTGTGTTAAGTACCCTTAATCTTGGCTGTATTTTCTAGAGAGTTGGTAAATACATATCATATTAAGGATAAATATGACAAACAAACTTTTTTTCAGAAATCAGCATTATTTTTCATAGATTTACATTTAAATTGACAACCTGAATAATGTTTACCAAGTAGAGTGGGAGAATTATATAAGATTTTGTCATAAGGTTAAAAAATTGTGCAAAATTTTGTATGGAATTATATAGAAGGCAAAACAAAATCTCATATATAAGCACCAAGGAAAACCTTCGATTTCTTTATATTTCAGGGATTTATTATTTATGCCATTTCAAATCAAAATCAGTCAAAAAATATATATCAACCAACGCATCCATTTTTTGTTTGTGGTAAGTACCCTTAATTTCATATCGTTTGTGACAAAACCTTTTACTGGGTTTCAATGTTTTGAACTCTTGCCCTTGACCTTCATTTGGTATGCCTTATCTTTGACCTTGAGGTGCCATACATGTCCTTTTAATAAACATTTCTTTTTTATACTCACAGGTAGAAATGTACCTTGAGATTGTTTTAGTAAACCTACACAGATGTTTATGATCATACAAAGGGTCAGACCTTCATAGTATTTATGCCGCTTTTGAAAATGTAATAAATATGAAATGGGGTTTGTTTTAGTACGAGATATATATAATGGAGTCACATGCTTGCATGAAATGCTAAAGAGATTCATGCTTACAAAATGTCTGTGGGATTTACACATCAGTGTGACACAGATGTACTAGTAATATGGTTACACACTGATGCACCCAAATGGGATAAAATAAATTAACATACCAAGACAAAATACTATATGTCCCCGAATATTTCATTTCAGGAGAATAAGGATTTTTAAAAATAAATATTTTAAAATAAAGCGTTCCTGGGTGCTAATACTTTATAACATATTCCCTCATCATTTGGAATATATAAAAAAACTTGACCCTAATTAGTGCTATCGTCATTATGATTACCAAATATTTTAATCCTGGAAAAGAAAATTTCAAAAAGTTTATGTTTTGTGAATGCTTTATTTTAAAAAAATGCTTCATTCCATAATATCTATTGTACACAATGTTTCCTTGCATAACTTATCCCAGGATCTTGTGATCAAGTGTACACTATATACATAGTCTCTCATTCTCTACATCACTTATCCCAGGATCTTCTGATACAGTGTACACATTTTACCCAGTCTCTACATTGTATCTATGTCTCTATATATCACTTATCCCAGGATCTTCTAATCAAGTGTACACATTTTACCAAGTCTCTACATTGGTAAGGTACATGGGTTGTCCAAAAAGTTCGTGGACAATGACGTGTTTGTTAAAATAAATGGTTCTATATGTATCTATTGTATATCAAAATATTTCTTATGAAAAACGAAGTCAGAATGATTTAAATTTTATTGAACTTAATATTTTTGTAAATAGAGGGGTCTTTAAAGATCGCAGATTGTGCGCACGGACCAGTCTAACGTTAAGCTCATTACATTATAACGTCAAACATTTGGATTTTTTACTTAACACATGTTCATGGACACACACTACATTTCTTTTTTAAGGTGCAAATCACTTTCAAGTGCTATCAATAATCTTTAAGAATAGATTATAATTCATTTAATTTTTAAAATTCAAAATAATACACAAAAAATATAGAGCGAAAATACTGAAATAAAACAGTTTGAATACAAAAAAAGCTGAACAGCCCGTCCGCACGGGGCAGCTAGATTTAAAACAAGTTTTAATACAGTTGAATCTCCAAAAATATTTTAAAACAATTAAAATTATTTAAATATATTTTCAGTGTATCGATTTAAAATTGTTATATTCGATTTTTCAAAACCGTATGTACAAATCTCAAGACATACACTTAATATATTTAAAAACAGTTTAATAATATAAAATATATTTTGTCATGGAGCCATTTCATTATATGAACATTTTATAAATCTAGCGCAGCCCCGTGTGGACGGCCGACTTGGCTGTGCAGTTTGTGTATACAAACTGTTTATGTAGATGACGCTCGTAAATTTTCATGCATTGTTTTGAATTTTATAAATTGAATAAATTATATGTCACAAAGATGATTATACCCTCTTTGTTTATGTTACATAAAATTTGTGTGTCAATTTTTGAACATGTGTTTATATAGAAAATAATCATGTTTAAGTTAAACTTTATATTAGATGTTATGTAATTTTAACCTTGGTCCGTGCGCACTATCTACA